CAAAGTGAAATTCTCATTACTGGATGAGGTTTATTGTCCTGTGACAAAACCTTTTCCCATAACAATTGAGAACGCATCGATGGTATTGTTCTCTATTCTGGGCTGGCCATCAAACTAAGCCAGTTGTCTCCTTTGTGTGGCTGGTCGTAATGAAATGGTTTAAGCGGATATAAACTACTCGGTAAGCTGGCTCTGCATTCTGTTCATTTGAGAGTGCCAAAAGGCAGCGGGCGAAAGACAAAAGATGCTCCTAGCCTGGTTAAGCGCAGATTAAGTCGTAAATTGCAGCGCTTCGGACATGCAAAGGTGTCATTGTCGTCATATATTCCCCCTCCAACCCGCTCCAACCCGCTCCTTGTAGCCTTGGGCATAATTAACAAGATATGGCCGAAACAAAGCCGTATTCGCGATTCTTTGTCAGACGGAAAGAGTTGGCGGTTGCCGAGGGGGAACGCGGTGACACATGGCTCACTCTGTGACAGGTTTTTAAATTAAATCACCGCATTATGGCGGATAATTGGCCGCTTGGCAGCTCGTTTCGGCCTTGTTCGTCAGTGAAAAATAATTAAGGACTGCCAGTGGAAGTGGACGTGGAAGTGGAAGCCGCACCACCAGAGTTTCTGCAGAAACAATCAGCGTCGGACGACATTTGCGAGCCCATTGTTGCAACATCTGAAGGTGACTGGAAGCACTTGAGGGGACTTTAATTTGCGGCTCAAAGGGCTTAAAAGCCCATTACTATCTGGCGGGCAAACTTTTACCAGTAATTTCCAATGAAAATCCAATTTCTGCCAGTGGTTTTCGCCGCTTTGAAAAGAGTTTCTCCTCTCTCTGGTATGCGATGCGCCCAGCCCCTTGCCTCTAGTTTATTGGACTTTAATCTTTTGCGTACTGATTCGGCAACTTATTACTTAAGTTGCCGCTAAATATTTCAATAAACTTCGGCCAAAGTTCGCCGCCGGAAATTCCTGGGAAAATCAATGATGCCAACTGGTGGATAATCTAATCGCGGCGAAGAATACCAAAAGGCCGAGTGAATCGGCAAAAATCACAATAAAAATCCATTTCCATATTCAATTTGGTTAAGTGGCGCTCAAATCTAGAGGCCTCCAACCCACAGATCGGAAAATGTTTGAAAAATGAAAATGAGAGGCTGTAAAACTATTTCCAGTTCGTCTACGTCAGCAGTTTGGCCAGAGTCCTGGGTCCTGCAATTCTTTTGATTCCAATTTTGTGGCTCATTTATGCGCTTAACACGCTTCCAGGGAAACTCGGGCCGAAAGGGAAAACGTCCGAACGACATTGTGTGACACATTTCCATTTTGGGGAATTTCTTCATTTCTGCTTTGTTGCTTCGCCTTTTATTTACTGCGAACAACGGACAGCGAACAATGCACACTGGTTGTTCAATGTTGGATGTTGGTCGGAACACGGCGGTGGAAGCGATGGAAATTGTGAGCTATGTTTGCCGGAATAATGCCACCCGAGGTAGGAGGTCGGGGAATAAGGTAGGTAGTGAAAAATGCCAGCACGTTAAATTGAATTTAACGTGAAATGCAGTGAGACGAAATGAAATTTTCCCTGTCGCACTGTCTAACAAGTGGGAAAGCAAAACAAAGCGGCAAGAAAATTGAAAATAAGCGAGCGGAATTGCACGAAAATGGCTGATAAGAAAACGGGGAGCTGCAGGATTATCAGACATAATACGAAACTATAGAGAGCTGTATAGCCAGCGAGCCGAGAGCAGAAAGCAAAAAGCAAATACTTCAAACGAAACGAAACGAATCGAATCGAAACGGAGGCAAACGAAAGCGAATCGAATATTTATTGCCTTTATTAGCGAGTCGATTGAAAAATTTACTGCGCTCAAATTCTATCTGGAACGCTTCGCTTCACTCACTGCCATCTGCTGGCTTTTCCTGGGGTTTTCTCCGCCGTTTTCTGAGCGGTGTACGGGGATCCAGGGGGCAGCGGGGCAGCGGGAAGCGGAGGTTTCCCCGGCCTGTTCCTGGCCATTGTGTGCTGGCGCAGCGAGCAATTCATCTCCGCGTGCCAAAAACTTTTCCATTTTCAGCTACCTGACGCTGGTGCTTCATGCGGAGGTGGCAGCATTTTTGAAATTTCGCTGGCTGCTGCTGCAGCTTGTTTTTCACTTCCACTACCATTTGGTTTGAGATGTTTTCCCTTGTTAAGTCCCCAGCCGTTTTAGCCCTGCGGAGTCTATTCCGCTCCTGCCCATTTGTTTTCAATTTGGCCCGGCACCGAAGATGTTGTTTTCCATCACCGCTCGGCGGAGTGGGATCAGTTAGCCCACTATCCCCTGGCAATTCGCCCTGCCGGCAATACGCAAATAATTGCGTGTTTATATTTGGAATTGTATTGTGCGAGTACTTCAAATGTGGCGGACGAGGTCAAGTGTACACTGAACAAATGCCAGTGAAAATATCAAGGCAAGAATTAAATGTTTTGGGCTTATATTTTACACCTAATCGAAAATAGCACAAACCAAAAATATTTCATAGTATTTCAGTTTCAAAGGGTTGGTTCTTAAAAAAAAAGGAAAATCAGCCCTATCAAATAAGCACGTCTATGAATGAAGGAAAGCTGGCTATACTTTTTTGGCAGTGTAGTTAACCAGCTGGCTCGGCCAGACGATGCACACTGTAGGGTCCTTGGAACTCGCTGGCTGTCTGGCTGCCCCTACTTGGGCGTAAACTTCTCGCATTACTGTGCCATAAAGGACACTCGCAGCGGAATCTGCTTCTTTCCCCCCCGCTCCCCCGTTCCATCTGCATCTGTCAGCGTATTTCCGGCGTGTGTGTGTGTGTGCGTGCGTGAGTGCTTGTGTGTGTGCCAGGCATGTGTGTGAGTGCGAGCGTGTATGCTTTGTCTCTGGCAGCTTACCTAATTACATTCCGGAAATAAAACGTTGACTGATTGTGCCAATAAATGAAAATAATGACGCACCATTGACTGCAAACTGGAACCGGCAAACGGGCAAACAACTCTGGTCGAACTTTTTCCCCGACTTTGCTTGGAGTCTCCTCCTCGAAGCGAAAGCCAGAAGAAGCACACGAGTGGGAAAACTTCTTGCCTGTCTGGGCTTCTTCCTCTGCCGCCTTTCTCCTGCCTTTCACTCTCGCTTTTTGCGGATCCTGACGAGTTTATTTGCTTGAGCAGCGTTAACTGATTGTCTGTGATTTTCTTGTTTTTAGATAATGAAAGCTGCAGCAATCTGCGGCTGCGGGTACATAAAATAAAATAAAAGTAAGGGTCCCGGCAAGTGTAACTTTTTATATGGCCCGGCAACAGAAGCAGAAATTGTTGGCCATTTATACGGATGCTGGGCGGGAAGTGAGATTGAGTGGGTCAGTGTGGCAGATATCGAGTATCTGGGAGTGGGAATTACCATACTCGACTAGATGTTTGATGGTCAGGTTTTCATTGCCTAATATATGGGTATTATTTTCCACTGGCACTCCGGTCAAGAGAAAGATTTATCAGTCTGTTGGGTTTCTAAGGGTCAATACAAAGCAAAAGGACACTGCCTTTTTCTACACGTACATACTTACCAGCTGAATAAAGTATTCATGAGTTCTTCATTTGTTCTATTTTGTAGCTTTAAATGCAAATATCAATAAAACATAGGCAAACAAGGTTTTATTAAACTATAAAATGTACTTGTGAATTTAAATAGAAATTTGGTTTTCAAATAGAAAATGGAAGTCCTTTAAAATTAATTTTTTTTGCCATATTGTCAAGTTTTTCGTTTTGAAAACCACTTGAAATTTTCCGACCCACCTTGTTCTTGTCGGCCAAATAACTCATGCGTAATTCGGCATCTACGAAGATAACGGTTTCAACGCGAAAAGGCTTTCAGTGCTCGACAATGTCTAAAGCGTGTTAACAGTCTTCAGCCTGGATTTCTGGCTAGCCCCAAAGTATGCAAGGCCGTTTTCTTTTGCTAACCGAAATCTGGCCAAGAGCATGAGCTGGCTGAAATGGAAAGTCCGCCCAACTTGGTCGCAACTAATTTCAGCACAATAACCCAAATTGAAGCGGTTTGTTGGCGCTTTGTTTGTCCCCGATTGAAGTCGAGATGCGTGACGAAGTTGCTTTCGGCGCTCGGCTGACGTCTGCAAAAGGAGAGAGAGCCGTGAGAGCAGCGAAAAAAGCTGAGAGAATTTAATTATGCGCACGAACAATAAGGAAGAGAAAGCGAGAGAGAGAGAGAGAGAGAAAAAGCAGGGGACTTGACCAGAAATGTTTGCTATAAAAACCGTAACAGCTGTTGTCTGGTGATTGGCAATATTGAAAGGACTTCAAACAGGACATGATATGAAATAATAAAATAAATTTATATAAAAACAATTCATCTTTTATTTAAATTCAAAAAAATAGCTACATATATACCTATATACAAGCTAAGTTAATTAAAATAAGATTTATGATAAAATGATATCAAAGCAAATGTTCTTGGGCTTTTTTATTTTTAACAATTTTTAAATGTAAGGACTCTTTTTTATTTGCTAAGTTCAAAGGTTAAATTTGGTTAGTGTTTAATTAGTTCAATGGACCCCATTAAGAATATTACCATGAAAACAACCCTTTTCTCTTCTTGGTCAACAAATATTTCATAAGCTTAATTGCTTGCAATGAATATTTAATTTAATTAATTAAATATATAAATAATTAATTGAACAAACCTATTTTCGGATTCCTTTTTAACTCCCACTCTTTTTAAAGTTGGGGACGATATCAGGGTTGTGGTTGCGGCTTCCCCTCAAAGGACCAATTAAACAAACATTTCACGCGGGAGGGCGATGCTATAAACCGAGAGAGGCTTTCCCCAGAAGAAAATGAGAGGAAAACTTCCGGAGAGAGCGAAGCACGAAGCCTGTGCAGACTTTTCCGCTGCCGCTGCTGCTGCTGCTGCTTGTGATGTTGCTACTGGTGTTGCTTGATTTTCCTTGGGTCCTCGTGTCAGTCGCGTGCGAAAGCGTAAAGTAAACAGACAGGCGGCTAAAGCGGCAGCGGGAAAACCGAGAAAAGCAGGAAAAGCAGCAGCCGTGCAACCGAAGGCAGGACAACAACAGCAGCGACTGGCAGGCGAGTCCCACGCTGCCGTCCCATCAGTTGAACTTTGACCACGACGGTAACGGGTTCGGTGCGGTGCAGTTTTTTCAAGCGGGCTTAGTGCGGTCAACGCGGCGTATGCGCAACGTCCACACAACGTGGTCAGTTTTTGCGGAACAATAAGTGATGAATTTCCAATGCGAAGGCATATGGCAGCCACGTGCTCCCAGCTAAAATGTGACTAAAGGATTACACGAAAAAAAGGCCACACAAAAAAACGACATTAAAACAATTGAAATTCCCGTAATTAAAACATGAAAATTAATTGCAAATGGCGCTTAGCAATGTGGTCGCTTAAAATGTGCATAAATCAACGCAGAAATTGCATTTAATTAAGTTTGAAATAACAAAAAAAAAAATCCGAGTAGTAGTGAGGGTGGAAAAAAACAATTAGAACCGGAGGGAAAAACGTTTCAATTAAAGGCAATGTCATCCAATTGAAATGCAAGTGCAGTGACAAATAAAATGAAATTAAAGCGCTGATAAATTGAATCAGAAATGCAAAACAATTGACAGCAACAACAAGCGGGAAAAGAGTGCAACAACCACAGCAGCAAACAGCATCACTAACAACAACAACAATAACAACCACAACAAAAGCAACAACAACAGCAACAATATGCCGGCATCAAGTGGATTATATCGCATCAAGCACGGCCGTGTCCTTGACAGGCTGCAAAAACCCACGGCACTTATTTTTATTATAGCATACATTGCGGCATGCGGCGTTTGCGGTAAATATCCCACACAAACATCATGACTTTTGACTAAAACGCAATAAAACACACACACTCACACACAAACGCACTAACGGTGCGGAAAAATTACAGAAAAATGATTGTGCATATGATTTATATTTATTTGATGCGTCGATTTTTAATTTCGTATTCATTGCCGTTTGCGGGGAATCCATCCAATGTTGTTTGTCGAACGCGCTTTAATTCAATTAGCGACGCTGTAATGCATGAAATATTGTCCAAAGCCATTCGCGAATGTATCAAATTAAATGTTGCAAATATCAGAGGCACGCCGCAACAAAGAAGAAGTCGACAAATTGGGGGAACCGGAGAATCGAGAAATGGAGAAATCGTTAATTTGTTACGTTTCATTGGCGCTGTCGAGTGCAGTGACAGGTCAGGCGATGGGCGCGGAAATCACCTGTGCATCACCTGTCAATGCCTGACACCGCAACAACACCGATAACAACACCGATAACAACACCAATAACAACAGCAATAACAACGCCAACAACAATAGCAACAACAACAGCAACAAAACCCCCCCGGGAAGAACAAGAAGAACACTACAACTCGCACTAAAATCTGCTGACCGTCTCTTTCTGTCTTTCTGGCTTATCCGAATCTCCCCATCTCTTTCTCTCCCATTGGCTGGCTGGCAATTTGTCAAGCAATCAACAAAGCCAGAAATTGCCCGGCAATAAGAAACAGAGCGGCAGAGTGTTGGTCTGCCCCATCGGGTGGCAGACAAAGCGGCAAGTAGGATTGCGGAAAAAACCCATTGAACAGGGAAAACCTGGATAGAGCATGTACTGGGAAAAACTTCACACTTTGCGGTCTAGATTTGACATCTTTTCCATCCGAATATAATATGTCTAAGTTGTATGTCTTTATTCTTTTTTGATAAGTTCTGCAATGTTGTAAATGGCTACCTTGATGAAACAACTTATTCTCAAAGCATACAAATTTGTTATAAATATGTTTAATTTTTCATTTCTATGGAGGTTTAATGGAAAGTGATTTTAAGATACCATTTACCATTGTTCATCTCAATATTCGGTGGTTAGAATATGGTACACGGAGTACACAGCTTGTGCTCATTTTTTACCAATCATTTGTCTCCAATATTTTTTATGTTACAATGTTGTGTTATATACTCGTTATTAACATGTAGTATATATTTGTAATTTCCCTCCTCTGAAAGCAATATTTTCCCTAAGTGACTTGGGCAACACGCCGAAGAACACCAATATGTGGAACTAGAACACTGGCTGTGCCACATTTTGTGCGTGCCCCCGAGGGGGAAATGTCGATGGGGGGAGACCGAAGAATCGTCACAAAATAAAAAACAGTGCCACGTCTTCACACACACTTGCACACACGCACACACACACAGAGAGAGGCCCCAGGGGCAGCACACACACCAGTGCAGCTGCAAGTGCTACTGGCGACTATCTAGCGCATCCATTGTTGCATGCCACACACCAACACATGCCTTTTGGGGCACACACTCCTGCCGTCGCTGTATTTGTAGTTGTCGTTGTCGTTGTCGTTGCCGTTGTCACTGTCAATGCTGTAATGAAAAATGCACAAACACAAAAACGAACAACGAAAAACGAAAAACTAAAAACGAAAAACAAACTGAATCCGAAACCTGAAAATATAAATAAACAGAGGCACAAATAAAAATGCAGAATGCACGGGAGCTTAGGGCTAAAATGAAAAAACAATTTCAGCTGCGCCTGCCGCTTTTTATTTAGAGCGCATTAATATTTAGCCAGCCGCATGAACGTGCCTAGCTGTACAAAATTTCCCACCGTAGGCTCATATAAATCAATATTTATGCCCGCGGTGCATGTCTGTGGATCGAGCCCTGGGATTTTGAAGGCCAGCAGGGTCGCAGAAAATGCATTACTCGCTGCGCCCAAATCCGCAGCTCAATGGATCCAAATATTTGCATAATGTAACCCAAAAACATTCCCCAAATTCTCCGCACTGCAGGCTGTATGCTAAACAGGGGGAGCATGTAACTTTGCGGGGTCGAAAGTAAGCAGAAATAAGAGTTTTGGAAGCGAATATAAACATGAACCTAAACATAAACATATGCGTAAAGAAGATCGAACAGCCCTGACAAATAAACGAAGCAAATATGTAAATACCTGTCGCAAATATTCACTTATTCAATTATTCACGATGTTTAGCAATCGTTTCGCATGACATTCAAATTTAATGTTATTCTTATGTTGGTCATTGCAACACGGCTATATTGATTTTCAACGTTCATCTGGATTTCATTTGAATATCTGGCCTTTAAATTCAATTTGAAATATACTTCCCAATGTCAACGATGCTTCTAGATCCCGAAGCTTAGATTTGAATATCAGCTTAAGGAGTCCATTTAATTTGAGCGAACTTTTCCAATATGCCGGCCAGGCGTCCATTAGACAGATCGAATCAAAAGTTTGCCACTCCGGTTTTCAATTTAATCTGGTTTGCCACCCGCGCCAAACTGACGCAGCATTGTGTGGCAGCCACGTGGCCGAAATGCCTGAAAAACAGCCGCATATTGCAGTTGCAGCTGCACTTTCGAAGAGTTTCAGCTCTGTTCAGTTCTGTTCAGTTCAGTTCAGTTCGGCACAGTTCAGTTCAACACAGTTCAGTTAGGACAGTTAGTAGAGCATGACAATTTCATGGCCCACACCCACAAGGGTGTAGGTCTATCTGTGTATGTGTGTGTGTGGGTGAGAAGCTCCGTTCGAAATTGTGAAATTGCTGTGAAAGTCTGGCAAAAAGTTAAACCCATTGATGCCTGCCTCGGGATAAGTGGGCCACTTGCGGCTGGGCGGGTTAATTGGGCTAACTATCGCAGGAGCTGCTCTATCCAACTATCCAGCTATCCAGCTGCCTGTTTCCCATTTTTTCTTGGCCTCGTTTGTTAATTGCCACAGACCCGATATCAGACCTTTTTTGTAACCCGAAACAGAGCAGAAAAGGCTTTGTAAAGAGCTGAAAAGGGTTCCCTATACGTATATACATTCAAATTAGTCGAACGAAATTAATAGTTGACTGCTCTTAAACCAGATGTGGGTATTCACTAAATAAATTCTGTCGGTCTGTTCTTCTTAATTTAACTCTGAACAGTTTTCACTTTCTCCATTTCACTCATCGGGTTTCCCTGAAACTCGCTGCACAATTTTCGCTTCTGATTGGTAAATAAATCACCTGCTAATGCAGCGCTCCACACCCAATTTTTTGTGTGAGTTGGCAAAGTAATTTGAGCCTGTTTGAAGGGAATAAGATAATCGATTGACAATGGCGGATGACAGAGCGAAAGCCGTTTCACACACTGGGATAAAGGATGCATTTGTTAATGACGCGCGATGATTGACGAGCAGGAGCTGAAGGAAGGAGAAAAATGAAGGCGGGGAGAAAAGCTGCATTTACCAATATGTCTTCATTGCCAGCATCATAATTTTGAGTCAGCCAGACGCTGCAGAGTGTGGAGGCCTTGGGGAGAAGGGCAGGAAAAGAAAGCGGGGCAATCAGACTTCGTGCACGGGATCCTGCGACTCGGGTCAAGGCCTACATGTGGCAATGCGGCCAAAAGGGGGCACGTTGAAAGCGCGTTGGCAAGCATAATTTAATACGAAACATGCAGGGGCACTCACACACACACACCACACACACACACACACGTAGACAGTCACGTTGAATGCAACGGTAACTGAGCCATAAAGCTCACCTGTTACAAATGCAGTGCCACGTGGGCGTGGCGCATCCCATCACCTCCCATTCCTTGCCATCCCATCCCGTTTTAGCCATCCAGTTACCGAAGCCTCCTGAATCCTTACACTGAGCTGCGGCAGCCATAATAATCAGCACAAAAACTAATGGTCCCACACACACACACACACACACACCCGAACAGAGATGCACACACACACCACTTGCCACACACACTGCCCCCCAAATGTACACACACACTGGCACATGGCTGCACTTTAAGCGCTGAAAGCACGTAAATTCTACATAATTCAAAGGAGGCGGCGCCTTTTGGCAATGGCAAATGCGAAGACATGGACATGTGTGCCAGTTCACTGAGCCAAAAAGCGCAGGATTAAGATCTAAAGGCACACCTATCCCATGCTTAAGTCGGATAATTCTGCGAATTTTGTTTCGGAACTTAGAAATTGAAATTCCGGAAGGAGTAGAAAATTCGATTAAAAATAAGCTTCTTACTCTTTAATCGCTAAATACTTGAGAGTTTTTTATTAAACTACTTACCATAAACAGCTTTATATTAAATGGTTTCAATTTAAGTAGTAGGTCAGTGAGTTACTTATATCTTTTAATAATTCACAACAAACTAGGGAACATTTCATACTTTTTTTGCTTGTGAAATATTATTCTCTGTGTGACACATGCGGATGGGAAAAAGCGGAGTGGGCAAGCAAAGCTGCAACACTCAGACACTTTTTAGTTGCACTTAGCAGCCCTGCCTGGCTGTCAGCAAAGTGAGGACCCGGAGCCAAACCCTCTGCTCCTCTGCTGATTTTCCAATTTGCAACTTTTCACCTCGCCCCATTTTTTGCAGCTTTTCGTCAGCCAGCCGGCAACTTTCTTGCGCCGATCCGTCGAGTCATGGCAGGCTATTAAAGACAGGCCGGAGTCAACTTACCTGGCTCGCTGGCGAAAGTGGATGCAAATGGTTTTGTGACTTACCTTTGTTTTGCTCCCTTTTGTCCGCACTTTAGCCGCAAAGTTTGACCCGGACCGCAGACAGAAAAACCCGACCCATCATCGCGTATCGAGAGCGCTTGATTATGATCTACGGGCCTTTTCCTCGACTCGCTAACGAGCTGGTTTTGTTTGGCGGCCAAAAAAAGTGACAAGTACCCGGTTAACTGAATGACTCGCTGCCTTTCGCTTTTGGAAATTACGTGTTTGCCTAGCAGAAAGTGAAAACGAAAGAGCTGGTTAAAAAAATCAAAATTGAT